ACCCCCCCCACCCCCCCCCAAGGTCTGTCTGGGGGAACCGCGGTTGGTTCCTGTCGCCCCCGGTGAACCGGAGCCGCCGGGTCCCGCCAGCCCCGTGGCCTCCCCCACCACCTGCGGAAAAAAGGGCCCAGTTTGGGCTTTTCGCTCGACTTTTTGGGAACGAAACGTCCCCACGGGCTTCCAAAAGTGAAGAAAACGGCGTAGAAAAATATATATACGGAGGGAGAGATTCCCTGGGTAGAGGTTGGACCCGTTCCCCTCCGCTCCAAGCAGAATAAAATTATGGCAGCTGCAGAAAGGCTGGTAAATAATAAGGGAATCATCTACTGAAATAATAATAAATATTAATACAATATTCTAATAGTCTAATAAAAGTATAATAATTAAAAATAAGATGATCCTAATGAAGTAATAAATCGTAACTTAAATATATAATCGAATAATAAATAAGGACTTGCCATCATCCTACGCTCTTGGCATCGACAAATCCTGTGCTCGCCCACGAGCAGCTTTTCCGCTTCTTTACCCCCAAATTACGCTTGCGAAAACCTCCGCGCCGCTTATCGTTCCAAACCTCGGCGCTTTACTCGTTCGATAACTGAGTTTACCCAAGGCCACGGGTTGGGACGTGGTCCGGGCCGGCTGCCCGCCGTCCAGGCTGGTTCCTCCCCACCCATCTTCAGCCTCGTCCGGTTGCAACCGCCGACGGGACGTTCCTCCCCCCCCACCCAAGACCTTAGACCACCATCGCGTCACGACCGTGCCCGTTATTCGGGGGTCCCGATGCGCCGCCTTTAGGTTGGGCTCCTGGATCCAAAATTAAGAGCCCACGGGGGGAAGAGTCGAAGCACCGAGTCGAAGCACCGAGCCCTTCCCCGGCGGGATGGGAGAGGAGAAGAGCAACGAGCAGGTCCACGGTCGAGGGGATGGGGGAGGTAAACCTCGAAGAGGAGCAAGGCAGAAGAAGGCTTCCCAAGACTGAAAAACCCAACCCAACTCCACCCCGTCCTCCTCCGGGATGGTTTAGCGGCGTTATCCGCTCCGTTACGGGGCTGGAGACCCTCATTTGGTGGAGAACGTGTCCCGACAGAGGCACTTCTCCTTGCTACGGGCCGGGGAGATGGAGGTCTACGCCTGACCAGGTGCCGCGTCTCACCGGTGGAGAGGGCAACCCACGCCGCAGCTCGTCATCTCCTCTTACCCCCACGGGTGGAGACCTGCTGGCGCAGGAATCCGTCCTGGAGATGCTCATCCCTGGGGAAAGGGGGGG